AAAAAAAAAAAAAAAAAAAAAAAAAAAAAAAAAAAAAAAAAAAAAAAAAAACTTATATTATTTAGTAAATATTTAAAAACCATACTAACTCAGTCTATCCAATCCCATCGGTTTTTTTTTTTAAGATTGTGTTGAATTTTAAAAAAATAGAAAAATTTGGATCCGTTTGCAGGTTGATAATTTTTGTATTTAGGTCAACCCAACTGACCTAAAAATAGAATTACAGTCCAATTCTACTATGCCCTCTCTTAAGAATATTTTTTTGTTTCTAATGATTCAATGTGATTGTGAATATATGAAATTTTAATTATTAATGTAACATGTACTTTGAATAAATAAAAAAATTTAAACTAATTTATTAAAAAATCAACGTGCAGCACAACCAACCAAGATTATCAGTAAATTCTATCTAAGTCACTGGAGTTATCAACCCGACCAACTCCAACCTGTGTATACCTTTGAGTATCGAATTTGTTTGGTAATTTAGCCAAATTAAAAGGTAAAGTTACGATGATTTTAGAGTAACATAGACTATCATTCAAGAATTGAAAAGGAAATTGGGAAATTGTACCATCGCAATAACTGGTTTCGGAAGACGACGAACCTGGACCTAAACAAGGATTAAGGAAGTAAATCAACATCCAAAAGTGGCAAAAAAAAAAAAAAAAAAAATCGAACGACATGTCGATACCTGTAAATCCAAAACATTGAGACGACCAAAATCTTCAAAATCAGAATAACCATCGTTCTTCCTCAAAGCCTGATCTCCTCCACTGCAAAACGCCTCTGTTCCCTACGAAGATATTAATTGAAAAACTGGTGTTAATTAACTCTTAATTACAAGTAATAATCCACAAGAACTGAAGAAAATTACCTTTCCGGTAAGAATAATGACTCCGATTGAACTATCGTCTCTGGCATCGTTAAATGCACGAATGAGCTCTTTAATCGTCTGCGGCCGGAAAGCATTTCTCCTCTCCGGTCGATTGATCGTAATCTAAAATTAGGGCACAGAAAATTACAAAGGTAAAAAATAAAAACACAGCGATTGAATTCCCTAATTTGGAGTTCGATTAAACCTTCGCAATGGCTTCTCCAACGGCCTTCTCGTAGATGATGTCGATGAATTCCTTACCGGAGTTGTCGTCGGCGATGCTCCAAACGACAGGGTGAGTCGAGACAGCGCCGTGCTTGCGGTGGTAGTTGTCGTCGATTGAGGCGGCGGATAGGCGGATAGAGTCAGGATTTGGAGTTCGTGGAATCGGAATGAGATGGCCGGAAATGGAAGCCACTCTCCTTCTCATCGTGTTCTTCAGGTCATTCTCCGCCATTGTTGAACTGGAATCGGAGATGAGGAAGAAGAAGAGTCCAAGGGAACTAAAGATGAGTTCAGTTGAGGGGATCGGCTCGATAGGCTGATGGGCTATTGGATAAGATAGGGTACACCCGCTTATATTGTGTAACTATCAGTTGGGGAAGAAGATGAAGAATATTAAAATATTATTTTAGTCTATTTAATTTACTTATTTATTTTTTAAAAAATTAACCATAAATGATCTGAGTCATTTGGTCTCCTATAATTAAATTTAAATATTTATAAGTATCGTGATTAAAATATATGGACCAAGAGTTATATTTTTTAAATATTTATAAGTATAATGATTAAAATATATGGACCCAGAATTATATTTTTATTTTAATAATTAAGAATCATATTGACCTTCGAAATATAGTAATTATACATTAATTTATGTAATTATTGTCATCAAACCTAAACATTATTGAAAATATAGATGGGAGGGTTAAATTAAATGGAGACGGTCAGAATTGATTTTTATTTTAGTCCTTATAGTTTCAAGTTTTTTTATTTTAGTCCTTGTAGTTTCAAATTTTTGTATTTTCGCCCTTTTAAGTTGTTCAAATTCAACTTATATTTTATTTTGTCAAATAAATTTAAATGTTTTTGGCATGGTCAAATAATATTTTATTATGTAATAAGCATTTGACATGTGAGTATTTTGTAATATTTATAATGGAACAAGATGTAAAGTTTAATTTTATATATAATAATTCTATTAATTTAAAAAATCTTAAATTTTAAACTCTTTTTAGTAAATTTTTTAATTTTAAAATGCTTCCAACTCTGACCACTTTCATTTAACTTGTTTATTCATTTTTTCTTAAAGGGACTGAGAGGTTCTTCCACTTTGCTTTAAAAGGAAGTATTTTGGTTCTGCTGAATTTATATCTAAATTGTATGGATGGAGGATCACGATGTAATCTAGTCCCTCCTCTAATTCAAACTACGTATCTATCCATTAGAGATTGCTGTAATTTTAAAATGAATCTAGAAGTTGATCTCTCGTGACTTTTATTTGATTTGTTTATTTTTTTTTTTAAAGGGACTGAGAGGTTCTTCCACTTTGCTTTAAAAGGAAGTATTTTGGCTCTGCTGAATTTATATCTAGATTGTATGGATGGAGGATCACGATGTAATCTAGTCCCTCCTCTAATTCAAACTATGTATCTATCCATTAGAGATTGCTGTAATTTTAAAATGAATCTAGAAGTTGATCTCTCGTGACTTTTATTTGATTTGTTTATTCATTTTCTTAAAAAGGACTAAGGGTTCTTCTATTTTGCCAAGTGTTGGAAGTGTTTTGACTCTATTGAATTTATACACACATATCTACTTGAAATTCGTAAATATTTTTAGAATTGAGATACTTATTCTATCCATTTCATCCAGATAAACAAGATGTATCTTATAATAACTGTTTTTACCCTAAAATCTATAAGAGATTATTTGTAAAATATATTTTCTTTCAATTCGTTGGTAACATTCTCTCGGGGGCGGGCGGGATGAAATGATGGAGAGGGAGAAACCAAGATCTCTCAATCCACCCCCTTAAGGACCCAACATCCTCGCTTAAGAATGCTTTGTTTTGCTCTCCAACCAACATGAGATCTCCCAATCCACCCAGCGTCGGGATCTCTCAATCCACCCCTCTTGAGAACCCAATGTCCTCATTCAAGAATGCTTCGTTTCGCTCTCCAACCAATGTGAGATCTCTCAATTCATACCTGCTCATTGTGCTCTCCAACCAATGTGGAATCTCTCAATCCACGCCCCTTGAGGACCAGCATCGGGTCTCCAATCCACCTCCCTTGAAAACCCAACTTCCTCGCTCAGGAGTGTTTCGTTCCGCTCTCAAACAAATGTGAGATCTCTCAATCCACTCTTGTGTTGGTGTTAATATAACACATGCGGAAGCAATTTGGATCTTAGGCACTTTTAGAACATCAATTATTGTAAATTACTAGCATGTTCATAAGTATTAAAACTTAATGAGTTTAAATACTAACCTTTTGTAGTTCAAACTCCTTTTGCCTCACGAACCGGTTTCGAACCACCACTAGTGTCTTCTCCACTATCCTCTGGCCTTAGAACGGGATTGTGGAATCCGGTGAGTGACTAAATTTGGGAGGAATTTTGTATATGTGAAAGAGAGTGTTTGTGAGAAGTTTCAAGGTTTTTCATCAAGATGAAGAATCCCCTCCAAGTATCATGATCACTCTATTTAAAAAGTCAAATTTGCATGTTCATGCAAACTTGAGGTCACCAAATTTTGACACTTAAAATTCCACTCAAATGTTTGGGATTATGTGGCAAGCATGCATGTTTGAGTTAACCAAATTTTGACACTCAAAATTCCACTCAAACTCGTGGGGTTTATTTGGCAAACATGCAAGTTTGGTTAAACCAAATTTTGACACCTCAAAATTCCACTAACATGGATTTTTCCATTTCTTCATTTTAATTCAACAATTAATTTGAATAATGAATTTCAAATTAAAGTAACATTAAATGATTAATTAAACTATTTAATTAATATTTAATATTAATTCAAATGTCAATCCTAATCAATTCCGACACATAATTGATTAAGATATTTAAATCTTATTTAAATATCTCAGATTCTCTCTTTTCGTTTAATTCGTAAATAAAACAAAATTACGGTTAAATATATCGTATATATGTAACGCATATTCCCTAATTTGAATTCGAACACTTCGAACTCACTCGTCACACTGTTCTATGGTTTAGTCCGATATGAGCTAGCAGAGGGACCTAATGGACCTATAGATCATGGGCTCCAACGATCCAAGATTAACCGATTAAACTCATTAACCTGGTTAACCAACATTCGCTAACTACTAGGACACTCCACTATAGCCTAGTAGTTGCACTCCCCTCACTATAGATATATTTCTGTTCATCTGATATAACCATGATTAGTAAGTCGATCCTTCACAGGTTGTTCGTAACTAGAGCTGGGTCAATTTACCGTTTTACCCCTGAAGTTACTTCTTGTTCCTTATGTCTCACTGATCCTCTAATGAATAATTGGTTTGTGGTCCAACCAGTAAACCAAATCCCTCTCAGGCCAATGAGAGGGTGGAGCCCCTTGTTCAAGACCTGGAGTCAGTGCTTAAGGGAACTACCTTTCTTCTATCCCTAAAAGTGGGTAGGAGTGAATTCCGTCTTGCACCCCACGTCCCCAGCCATTCACCCAGTCTTACCCCTGAAATGGGAGGCCTGTTGAGTCGGCGAACTAGAGTCACTCTCACCCATGCAAATCTAAGGATAATTCCGAATAAACATGAGTTCATGGTTAGCTCAGGATTAAAATCGAGTTACCTAGGTTATCGAATGAAAAGAAAATCAGTCTCAACAGTAAACGACTTTATAAAGTGAGAGTGGTTTTCTTCATGGTCCGATCTTATGCAATACTCATTGCATAGGACGCCCCCACTCACATGTCTCCACATGCACAATTTAGTGATCACATTGTTTATATCATATACAAAAGTGGGCCGCATCCATAGTGTCCCCAGAATAAGGTACTCAGCTTTATCCTTATACTATAGATCATTTTGACTATATACTTGAGCTTGATCCACTCTTATATCTCTACATATAGTTCAAGTAATCATACTATAGCCAGAGTGTTCTTAGTTTATTGGATTTAGATTAATGATCGTAAAGTTCACTTTATTCAATAACAATTTTTACTGAATAAACATCAATAATAACTTTATTGAAAATAGAATATATCTTTGTTACCATGAGTTTTAGGACATAAAACCCAACATCTTGCTCGTTCCTCTCTCCAACCAATGTGAGATCTCACAAATCACCCCCCACTCGTTCCGCTCTCTAACCATTATAGAATCTCTTAATCCACCCCCTTGGAAACCAACGCCCTCGCTGGCAGACCGTCCCGTGACTGGCTCTGATACCATTATGAAATAGTTCAAGTCTACCGTTAACAGTTATTATCGGTTCTGACCGGTCATGTATTGTCACGACCTAACAAATTTAAAAGGCCAGGAGAGGTTTTCCCACCTATAAGAAATGGTTAGTTCGTTCTATGTTGGTCTCTCCAACATAATTATAGTTAAATAGGTGTTTCCGGTGAAGGATGCAGTTGGATTTTGAATAGTGGGATTTGCAATCTGCCGCCACCGCTCGGAGGGAAAACAGGGGCTTGCCTTGCAGACTTGGTCAAATGTTAGCCGTCGAGGTAAGTCTATAGCTCCCCTTGCTCATCTCCGCCTCTTTAATGCTATTTCACTAGAATTTCTTATTTGCGCTTTGTTTCTTCTAAATTCAGTACTATGTTTGAATGCTATGTATTCGTAATCTTTTTGGACTATCGAGGTTAATTTGAGGTATGTTTGATAATGCTACTGCTGATGATCGATTATGCACCGAGGTTCCGTTGTGTAGACCTAGTATCTGTGTGATAATTTTTCAACGGTTGCTTCACTTGGTAGTGGATGCATAGAAGATCCTCTATCCGCTAGATGCGTTTCTTATGGTTTTCCTACTTATTTTCCGTTGTTGTCATGAAGATCGACAAGTTCATTTAGGAGAAGTCCAATATATTCTCTAGATTTGTTCCTTCAAAAAATTCAAATACGATTGGTTCCTCGGAGATGTTCTATGGAGCTAGTTTGGGCAAGAGAAATCTCTTTATAGATTAGTCGGGTGGAACATGGCAAGGAGTGGATCCTGATACTCAGGAATCAAATAAAACTATCCTAGGAGATGTTTGATCCAGTTTCAAATTTGGAAGAAGTGTGTGATAATTTCAGAATTATTAGTCTTAGTTGGTCAGGGTGTTCTTCTGGATCGTAGGTATGATTCTATTTCTCATGGGCGTGATTGACTGATATAACCTAATGAGTTAACAAGTTTTCTTTGGTAACAACATGTCTGTATCTCAATGGGCTGAACTAAAACTTTTACAGAACAAGTTTATTTGCCACAAGTACTAAAATGTAGAAGCATAAGGTCTTGGTGTGTAAAGGGGTTGGAAAATCATGCCAACCACACATGTGAATACACCAATAAATATAGACTTTACACTCCACATGAATCAAAATCATTCTGAATTTTG